TTGCGACGGCGCCTGCTTCGTGGAGCCTGCTTCTTGTCTGTTGGCAGACGCCGGGAGCGCCGGGTGACAGCCGAGCTGACCAAAGTGCTAGATGTGTGGTGCCGCTGTTCGTGGGTCGTTTGGGTTTTTTTGAAGAAGCAGTTGTGGATGTGGATATAAATTCATTTTCTAAATCTGTTAATCCAGAGTCTCTAACACTTCTACCCAAGCCTCCTAATTACTAGTGCGGTAACACGTGAACATACCGAAAACTGTGTTGAAAAGTAAGGCGTTAGCTTACCTGGTTTTGAAATCTGGAGAATCTCTTTGAAAGCAGCCTCATCGTTGACTGGCATTGCTGTTTTCTGACATCTTTTACAAATATGATATTTATCCTGGATCTTTGAAAATTCTTTAAATTCTTTCTCTCCTATATATCTACATCCAATTTTTAATATTGTGCTGAGTCATCCTAGGCATAACTGCCCTCTCAGTTGGGCTTGGTACAGTCTGGCAGGGCAGATGACCCAAGATTCCCTCCAGAGTGCCTTGCTTTTATAGGTCCCGGAACCATGACACTGCAAATCCCGTCAGGTTTTGGCTTAACAGAAATGAGACAAAGTATGCAATGCTGTCATTTCGCATACGTGCTTTTACTGAGAACGTTCTGTGGAACAGAAAAGGCAAAAAGGTGTACTCAAAGAAAAAAGATGCAGCCCAGACTGAAGTGGTGGGAGATTCACGTTTTGCATAAGCATATTTTGGAGATTGCTTTTATATGGTGAACAGAGACCACCCCGGAAATACGAAATTGGTTTCATCTGCTATGCAAGCCATAGTTTTAAGAATTTATTTCCCTGTTCTAGCTAGCCTGTTACAGGGCACTATAAAAAAGTCTTAAATTAACAAAATCTTGCCTGGAGCTTTTATAAAAGTTTTTTTTTTTAAAAAAAAAAGTTCATTTATAATTTTGCATAACTAGACCAAGGAAGTACTTTTAATCTGAAACTACCATAAAAATCTGGTAACCATTTTTGAGAACAAGCCACGTTGTTAGAACATGAAACTTGATCATTACTGACTTCAGTTTAGCAATTTCATGTTGACCCTGCCAGACCCGGTCTGGCTCCTGTAGAGCCACTGCATCTGCAGTAACCTTAGGTTGGAGGCAGTGCCAGACTTAAGCTGGCACTTGTTGAAAGTTTGTTTGACTTTTTGCAAGGGAGGGAAATGTTAGCTGGCTTAATTTTCCACTGGTTTAACTCCTTGAAGCAACGTGGTCTTCAAGGATCGCAGAAGCACAAGGGAAAGAAGCAAAAATGCAGGTGTGAGCTGAGAAGGGCAGGATTGCAGCAGTACTGACTTAGATTTGCTTAACGTTTCAGACTGACACCCTGAGGGTTATGATGGGGGAGTGGGGACAGCTTACCTTGGTATGGTTGCAGTGATTTCTGTCCTTAGCTCTCTGTGCTGCTGCTCTGTCCGAAATTGCAAATCTAGGGCTAGGATAGGAAAACTGCTTTTTATAGTGACTGCTAGTCTGCCACAGCTTACTGCCCTGCGTATTGAGGTGACCCCAGATCAGTTTGCTTCGACGTACCATGATACAAGTTGAAGCGGTTTGGCTGAATCTTCCCTGCAGCTTGGCCCTTAAATGCTGTGGAAATATAAATTATAGGAAGAGACAACAGGAAGCTTTATTTACTGCTTTACTTTCATCTCAGTGAGGGAAGGGTAACTGTTTCAGAGTTTTTCTTCTCTTTGTTCTTTATTACCTGAGAAAATGAGGAATGTCTGGGCAGATGAATCTAAAATAGAAGTACTCGCTGTATGTGGCAGAGAAAGCAAAAATACTCAAATCTAAATTCCTGTAGCACATTATGTTTCTGTCTTCTAGGAAAATATGGTCCAACTAGTGACGTGTAGGCCAGGTCCAACCTGTGGGATGCTTTTGTTTAAACTCTTACCTTTTCTTTGGAAGAGATGAAGATGTGTTTGCTCCCGTAATAGTTGAACGCTTTCTATTGCATGTGGTATGTGCACCTATGTCTATGGCAGCCCATGTCAGGGCGAAGGAGAAACAAAGGTGTTTTTCCACTGTATGTGTGTTGCACAGTCCTAAGCCTGGAAGTTGTCGCTTCTGTATCTTATTGAGTCCTGAACCTGCCATCCAGTCCTGTAGCCACAAACTGGAGTGCATAAAGATGATAAATATTTTTAATTGGATATTGTTCTGTGTTTATCTGTTAATTCATATTATCAAATTGACCAATATATTTGCACATTTGACTCTTGTGAAAACTACATGCAGGTACTTATTATGGAAAACTACTATATAAAAAGTAGTAGGAGGTGGGGGTTGTGGTGAGAGATGTACAGCCTAAAAAAAATGAAAATTGTGAATGATTTCCTTAAAAGGAGATGCTGACATCTGAAAAACAAAGTCCTGTAATTAACGTTTGGCTTTGTGCTCGCTGTGGTCTTAATATGCCTGAGTGCCTTGGCACAGATCTGCTGGTTGTTATATCTACAAAATGGAGAAGGCTTTTTTTCAGCAGAAGTTATGAAAATACCAAAGCAATGGAAAATAAACAAAACTTGTTGGGACAGTTTATAGTCCTTCTGATCTCTTTCAGATATGTATTTCATTGTCATGTGCACTGTTTTAAAATTTAGGGGGGGTTATTTAATGTTAAAGGCCTGAACGAGACATCAAAACTTGGGATTTTTACCTTTGTAAATTCGTTTTAGAGTTTATATTTTCCTCTGACAAACCTATTCTTAAGATGGAATCCTGAGAATCAAATTGAGTCTTGTTCTTGTTTACTTTTAGATGCCTGTCTTAGATGTCAAGCTGAAAACAAACAAGAAGATTGTGTTGGTATGTAGTGATTTCATTCGCTTGTTTTTCAATTGAAGCTTGTCTCAGTAGGGTGCATTTTAAAGTTTGAAGGGAATACTGATTTTATTAATGCTCAAAAGTAAACCGGTGTTGCGTTCTACACTGTGTCATCTTTTTACATTAGTAATACTTTATGCTTTATTTTTGAGCACCAATAAAATTAGTTTTCACTTCAGACATGCTGTAGAACAAAATAGCTTCAAATTTGCAGTCAACACATACGCAACTGAGAGGTTTAAGTTTCTCTCACCCTGAGCGTAATTGAGGAGATGACAATGTACACTTTTGTAGTGGGTAGGAAAAGGCTACTTTTTTTTTTTTCTTCTGAGATACATGCCAGAAGACACAATGGTAATACCAACAAAAATCCTCTCTTCTGAAATAAATGTGTGTCTGGGTTAGAAAGCGGTATTTTTCCTAGTCTTAATTCAGACATAGTAGAGGCAATTGCTTGTTTGTTCGTTCACTTTTCATTTGAAAAAGTGGAATCACTTGAGTTTTTTATAATGCTGTTTAAACATAAACATACTTTCAATTGCATACCAATGTATGCAAAAGCAAATATTAATTCTGATGTATTTAAATCAGAAATAGTGAAAATTGTCTCAAAGAGTTTGCTGTAAACCTTTAAGTCAACTTTTAAACCAGTGGTAAACCTTTCCATGCCCTTGTTCTTTCTGTTTTGAAGTATATTGTCTCAAACTTAATCCACTGTTGTTTTTGATGATTGTTTTAATGAGAACAGGAATTTTCTGTTCCAGATATCTTAATTGGCTTGCTAAGTGTCCTATTTAAGATAGTCAGAGAAGGAAAAAAATAATTTACAACACTCCTTTGATTGGTACCCTTGTATTCCAATAAGGAAAATATGAACTCACAAGGGAAGAAAGCAAAGTAACTAACGTTATTCAGGAGTAGATAACCTTTTTGTTGTGTTGAAACACTTTGTAACCTCTGAATAAATTCTGGCCTAAGATCCCATTTTGAGGCTATATACTGTGTTAAATGTGCCTCCTTGATATGATACATTTAAGTTTAAACATTGCATTTCAGATGAGAATTTGGTGATACGCTCTTGCATGATAGTCAGTCAGTAGTGCACTGGTTATTTTGTGCTCAGGTGGCCAAGAGGGCCAATGGCATCCTGGCTTGTATCAGGAATAGTGTGGCCAGCAGGACCAGGGAGGTGATAGTGCCCCTGTACTCGGCACTGGTGAGGCTGCACCTCAAATACTGTGTTTAGTTTTGGGCCCCTCACTACAAGAAGGACATCGAGGTGCTGGAGCGTGTCCAAAGAAGGGCAGCGAAGCTGGTGAAGGGTCTAGAGCACAAGTCTTAGGAGGAGCAGCTGAGGGAGCTGGGGTTGTTTAGTCTGGAGAAGAGGAGGCTGAGGGGAGACCTTATTGCTCCCTACAACTACCTGAAAGGAGGTTGTAGCGAGGTGGGGGTTGGTCTCTTCTCCCAAGTAACAAGTGATAGGACGAGAGGAAATGGCCTCAAGCTGTGCCACGGGAAGTTTAAGTTGGATATTAGGAAAAACTTCTTCACCAAAAGGGCAGTCAGGCACTGGACCAGGCTGCCCAGGGAAGTGGTTGAGTCCCCATCCCTGGAGGTGTTTAAAGGATGGGTAGACGTGGTGCTCAAGGACATGGTTTAGTGGTGGACTTGGCAGCACTAGGTTAACGGTTGGATTTGATGATCTTGAAGGTCTTTTCCAACCTAAACGATTCTATATTTTGGTACTGGGGAAGATAAAGTGAAGAACTTACATAGTTGCACTTATTTCCTGGACAGAACTGATAAATGTGTTTATACATTCACAAAACTGTCACTTTATACAAGAAGGTGAGAATATATGCATTTCTTTTTCATAATTGGAAATAAGTAAAAGGATGGATGACAGAGAACTGACTATCATCAGAACGACCATAATAATCCAATTGCAGGGGATAAATCGGTGATGACCCATTTTGTCTCTAAAGCTTGCAGTGGTTATAAATATCTGAGAATGATAGTTTGGACCTTGCTATAGGTGTTGACTGGACAGCTGAGTGTGACTGGAACATGTTCTTTCTTCTCTTTCAGTGGTTTGGGGAGAATGCAACCATTCCTTCCACAATTGCTGCATGTCCTTGTGGGTGAAACAGAATAATCGCTGTCCCCTCTGCCAGCAGGACTGGGTAGTCCAGAGAATAGGCAAATAAAAACACTGGAAGGGGTTTTTTTTTTTTTCTGTTAAACTTGTTGAAATAGTGTATGTCTTATGCCATATGCTCATACAAAAGAACGAGGAGGCAATGGTCAGTCTTGCTGCAGATACTTCCACAATTGAAAAAAGAGAGACACTACATTAACAAATGTATCTGTTACGATTTGAGTGTTAACTGTATCAGAGCGTAGAAACGTGGTGGTGCAGATTATACCCTAAATACTGTTTATTTAATGTTTTTGCATAGATAAATGAATTAATTTGAAAGGGCCACCCTCCTTGTAAGTCTGATATGCTGCATAGTTTACTGTCAGGATAAAGAAGTTGTTTGGTAAGGAATATGGTATACAAAAACACAGTTGGTGAGTTTCGTAGAAAATATTCTGTTTTTTAATCTAAAATGAATAGTGTGTAAAGCATTTGCTATGTGCTTTTTCTGTCACACTGTACTAAACATTTCTAATTTAGGTTTTCTTTATGACTTTAGAAAATTTTGTTTTGTTGTATCTCTAAGTCTGTTGCTGTATTATATTCTATACATGATTTCTACAATCAGAGTATTAAAATTTAACCACATTAATAATTTTTTTTAATTTATATTTCTGTTAAAGATCATGGCAACATGTATTTTTAATCCAGAAACTATTGGTACAAAGACACGTATTTGATGTCAATTAACAAGGGGCATAAACAATCTCGCTGGTTAGCTGACTAACATAGAAAGCAAACAAAACTGATCATTTAAATATCCCAAGGAAAGCAGGTACTAATTAAATCTAGGGGAAAATGTTAAAATTTTGATTCCATGAAAATTCAGTTAATAGGAATTTCTTTATTATCGTTTTATTGGTTACAATGCTTTGGAAGTAGGGGAAAGCATTGTTTCATTGTTGTGGAAATCCTCAGTATATCATGTTTTTTATACAAATCGTGATTTTTTTTCTTACAAATATTGAAGTGCTTGCCTCCGACTTTTCCCTAAATATCCAAAGTAATTACTATTAATCTGAACTTGTGCTGTGGGGGTTTTTTTAATATATGTAATAGAGAGGTTGAATTACTGCTTTAAGTCTGTAACAAATTCAGGCTTAATAGAATGGTTAATAAACTGGGGCGAAATTGAACCAATATTATATGCATATCATTGTTTATTTCAAAATTATAATCTTAAATGTTTAAGATTAATGCATTTCTCAGCTGATGTATTTGTATCTAGTTCTGTTTATTTTAAGTATATTTAAAGAGGTTTATCTTCACTGTATAAAGTAGTTCCGATGGCAATCTTCGTGTCATCAAGCACACATGCAGAGTTTATTGTGGTTTTGTTTAATACTTGTAATCTTGTTTTTAAAATGTGTTGAATTTTTTAAATATAGCTTTTGTCTCATTACACATTGAAATCAAAAAAATCCTTTGTGTCGCTCTTACGGTGTATCACATCGGTTGTTATTATCCCAGATTTAGTCTGTCTTAAAATTAAAAAGAAATATAGAATAGGTGAATAGTAGTAATGAAGTGCGTATAGCATTTACGTTGTTGTGAAGTATTTCTGTTTGTATAAAAGGATTCTTCCTAAAATAATTGCAAAAGAAAATCTGGTTGGATGTGGAAACAATTTTTAGCTGTCAAAGTTAAACTATTATCTTATCTAGCACCAATTTTCTCTGCCAGAATTTGGTCCCAGGCTCCATGCTCTAACCTCTATTAATTCCATCTAGTCCCATCAGAGGACTTCTTTCTTCATTTTGCTTTGGTTTATAGGTGAATATGGAAAGTACCAAAGTAATTTTCATCCTGCTTTCAGTTCACGTCAAGTGCATGACAAGAGTAGCTGAGAATTATAATTGTAAAAAAGTTTTCCAAAGTGTTGGCTCAAACAGGTATTAGCATAAATGAGGTATTAGGAAAGTTAATGTTGAAATCAAAGCAGCTGATATTTGTGTATATCTATTTGTGTATTATAACCATCTTGTTGATCACTAATTAGAGGTTCACCTAGAATATAGGGTAATGAATTTTAAGTCCTGCAAGTTTTCTCTGTGATTTAGAGAAGATTAGTTTAAGTCCCAGTCTTTCTATGAGCTTTGCACCAGAGAAATTTTCTTCTGCTCCAATCACACTCTGATATTCCACTAGCATAGTTCTTAATAAGTACCCATTATTAGTCCTGAATTTGTTCACCTCTTGTATATGCAAAATAAATGAGTTTTGCTTCTCACCCAAACATATTGTTTTATGAGTAGGTAACACCAGCTTAAATAGCCATTTTCGACTAATAGATTAATGCTGAACTACTTTCCTCCACTGTTCAATAAATGCTGGGCAGATATGGATAATTCAGCACATCTAGCTAGAGTCTTCCCTCAAAAGTGACTGGAATAATGAATGTGTGTCCGATACATATTGTTTCACTTCGCTTTTTATGAAGTTATGTTCTTTTAGAGAAATTTTATGTTCCATAGAAATCGGGAAAGATTCTAATTAACAGATCAGAATGATTTTTGGAACTGTGAATGAGTCTTTCTTATGAAGATACCGTAAACATTAGGTATTTTCTTGATTTGCTTAGACATGACCATATCAATAGCTGGTGTAAGTTTGAGTTCACCCTTAGGTCCTCAGCTACCAGCCATTTGTACTGCTACTGTTTGAGCTGTGGTGGCATTCTTGCTAAATGTAAAAAAGACCCTGCTGAATTTTAGGACCTGAAATTAAAGCTTTTATTACCTTCTTTCTTGCCTTTCTGCACCCAGGATATTACAGGAGTATGTTGCTGTGGCCACCGTTTTCAGGAAAGCCACCAGCAGAATTCCACATTTCTTCTTTTGACTTTTTTCATTTTGCTTACTCTGCTGGCTGCGTTATTTAGCCCTTTATGTAACCTTTTCCTGTCCCATGCTCGCAGTCACCTGGCAGAATTAGCGATTGCTGTACAAGCAAGACTTTCAAATACTCTGCTTTAGAGTACAGTGCGTTCTCATGCGCACATAGCAGTTTGCGATGGATGGCCCTCTCGGTCCCAGCTAGAAAAACATTCATGCCTCTAATGTCATTTTGTAGAGTATAAGCATGAGTTATAGGTCAAATGGATTCAATGCAGACAGGATTAAGCATGTAAAAACAAAATACTGCATAATAGTAGAGTAACAAAAAGCAGCCAAGAAGGGCTTAGCACTTACTGTAGGGGGTCTGAGAGGTGCCTGTTATTACTCCTAATGTTTAGCGTTTGTGATTCAGCTCTTCAGCTTCCTCTAAGAGTGAAAAAAGAGAAAAGGAAACTTGACCTTGACCTCAAGAGTGCAGCTTGACCCTATTGCTACTGGAAGAATCGTGGAACTGCTTTTCCTCTTCCCATAATACTTATATTTAAAGAAAGTTTTAGCAGCCCAATCACATGACCCCACAGCAGAAGGGGGCTTAGCCTAGTAAGTGCCACACATGATTTTTATTCTTTGGGGACAAAAACGGGGCACATGCTTCCTGGAAGGCAGCCAGTGAGTGAACTCAGGTGGAATTTGCCTTCACTTGATTATAATCAGCTTTGTCCCTTTGTTGATGCCACCTCAGCCATACACTGTTGCCACCTTCTCATCCTGCCACGTACTGTCATAAAGCTCAGCAGGGAAAATAAACTGAGTCCACAACAACATATGGAAGCGTCTTGGCAAGATTTGGCTGGTCATTTGAAGTGTTCTTCCTTTTTCTGTGGGTAGGAGATGAAGTCAGAACTATTTATTGTTTCATATATAGGGATCATTATTTTTAGACCAGCAGCAGGTCTTAGCCTCTGCATGTAATCCGCTCAGGCAGAGCCACATGAGGCATCAAGGTTTGCATAAACTGTGGAGCTCAGTCATTGATGTTGAGTGTAACTTGAGTTTTGGAAGTGTGGATGCTCAAAGCACTGAATTGTGTGATAATTTAAAGATCAATGACTCATGTTTGGCTATGTCAGCTTCTGTTTCAGGTATGGCAGATTTGTGATAAAAGCTTTTTATAAAACCAGTTCCCAACTTATGTAATTCTTAGTACATCAGTGTTCTCTGTGTCGAGCAAGGGAGATACGAGGCTGTCCTACTAACTGTGGCCAGAGTGCCACTGAGTTTGGAGTGTGCATGTTCTCAGCAGCCAGGGACAGTGCCCACAGAGGGAATCTTGGTCCGTTTAAAGGTTATCAAGGCCCATTCTGAAAAACACCAGCTGAACTGCGTGCGTTTGGTGCTGCCAGTGAGGTTTGCCTAGGATGTCATCCCTCAGCTATACATAGCAAACTCAAAGCTCCTTACAGAGAAACCTCTTACCAGTCACTTTCCACAAATGGTGCATATACCTAAAGGTACTTAGTGAAAATCCTTGAGAGGTATTTAATGCAAAAGCAGTTAGTCTCTCTGGTGTTTTTCAGAAGCCCCCATACACTGCTAGCAGGGAGAAGTGCAGGGCAGCTACAGCACAGCACTTGGGCCAGTTACTCATTTTGTCTCAACCGGGCTCTGCCACCCCAAGAGCTTGCCAAGATGTGTGACATGGGGGGGCTTGACAACCTGATTGCCAACACAGCCTATCTGCAAGCAAGGAAGAGTGGAGATGGAGACACCAAGGAGATGCAAAAGAGGCGTAAGAGCCTCTCACTGCCCAGGATTGATCAATGCGCAGAGGTTAGACAGTCTGTTGCTGCTGATTATGACAGCATCTGTGAGCAGCAGCCCATTGGCAAGAAATTCTTCAGAGACTTCTTAGAGACAGTGCCAGAATATTTGGTAACTAGGGACTTCCTGGATGAGGTGTCAAGCTGGGAGCTGGCAGAAGACAATGTCAAGAGCAGCACCATGGAGAATATGATCACCAATTTTCTTAAGGCAGGCTCCAAAAACTATCTGGCTTTCATGAGCTCTGACTTGGCCAGCAAATGCCAGGCAGCTACTGCGAAAGACTATGAGAATGTTGTGCAGCTGGCCAAGGAGGAAACCAAACTCTTCCTTAAAGGCAAGCCCTTCC